GGTTTAAGTCAAAGAAAGGTGTTCCTTATTCCAAAAGACACAGCAACAGTAGGCTACCCACCTGCTTTGCTGTCCCCCCCACTACCCCCATCAGTAACTCTGGAAACGAGGATTAGTCTGTCTCACGTAAATGTACCAAAACCATAACAACATTTTGAGCAAGACCGCAGCAAGTTTTTGTTTGTTTGTTTTAAGCCAGTTCAAGTCTCTTCTACACACTCACCCATTGAATGGCAGCCTTGCTTGAGTCTGGATACTAGATGTCCCAGTAAAACCAGTGTTACTTGCTATAGACACATATGATGACTGCTGTAGCTAACAAAACCAAAAGTAAATTATTTACAATATTCTGTATGAATTTTTACCGTTTCATGCATTGGGCGTTGCAATACACTTTTTATTAGCCTCCCTTATGCTGCTTTGTAAACTATATATTCTTCTAGTCCCAATTTTGAGACTGGTTTGAATTATTCACAACTCACAAGACTAGAAGTAGTCTTAGGACTACACTGCAAAAAAGGAGGTTGGAACTTTAGGTTCAAAGTTCTAGGTTAAATATTTATAAACTACTGATTTTTACATAATACCTTCACTATGAAGGATGCTAAAATGCTTTGCCTGTAGTTGATATGCAAGTTTTCTACAGGAATATGTACACAGGTGAAACGCAAGTGAAAGTCTGAAGCCTAAAAATAGTCCGAACCTCTTACATCATGGTCCAAGGTCAGTTAGAATCAACTTTAATGAGACTAAGAAAATGCAAACAATTTGCATTGGTTGCATTATTTGGTATTTCCCTGCATGCCAGTGCTCATCAGTTCCATGCTGAGATTAGCTAGGTGCAAAAATATGGAGGAGCAAAGTCTACTGCCATGACCTTTGTAATTTTTTCACAGGAAAGAAGTGCTAAAAGTGCATTCATTCACAGAGTTTCCACTTGACTGCTTTCCATTTCATATGTGTGCATGTGCGTCCCATTCTCAGGCCACACTTTGCTGAGATTTCACAACTTAACTTCTATTCAAGTATTTGAATGAAACAGTAAAATTTTCTGAAGAGCTCAGCAGACAATAGTTGCCTGTGAACACAATGGCAGCAGTCAGTGTCCTGTGCACTCCTAAAAATGTGACCACTTTATTCTGATGCCAAAACAAGGAGAGATTCAAAGTTGGGCTCCACCTCTGGATGTAGAGTGCTTTTGAAAACCTGGACTACTGTCTTTTTCCCACTGCTTATTTGAACCAAAGCTGGCCCTGTCTCCATGTCATTTTCCTCTTGGCATTTGCACACTACTATTTCATTTGTATTCCTTCTCCAACTGTAAAATGTAGGCCATCGGGGCAGGAACTGTAAAATAAGGTGCCTATCAACAACATGCAAGCCCCAGACAAAAAATAATCCCTGAATACATTGCCGGACTTTAAAAATTTTAAACTGTGAACTGAATTTCTATTTCTTTTTATCCTAATATTTGATCGAGTTTTGCAATAAGTAATTGCATCAATTCAAATGCCTAAACCACAAGTGGGGACAAGGCAGCAGGTTTTTACAAATGACACTACCATCTCCAACTCCTTTTGTAAAAGAGTCACATGCCAACAACATACCTGAGTAACATACTGGGCTGGAAGAACAGCATAGCCTACATTTCCTGTGCCAGGTGCTGGTGCCAAAACAGTACCGGGAGGGAGGTTAGTGAGGTTTGGTTGTATTTGTGGCAGTGGAGTGGCTGGCATAATAAGTCTTTGTTGGGGCTGACTAGTGGTAACAATCTGTGAAGATGGGTTGATTGGTTTGGGCACCACCTGGAAAGATACAAAATCCTTATGACATCTTCAGCATATGGTTCTTTACCTTGTATATGTGGTGGGATTTTTTTAATTAATTTTGAAGACACGAGTCTGTGCAGAAGAGTGTAAAATCATTCTTTATTTCCACAGCTAGATTTTTTTCATCTGCTCACTAGCTGAAATGATCCAAAAAACAGAGAGATCACATTGCACTCACCTGTTTGACAGTCTGTGCTGGTACTATTGGGACAGACATCCGCACTGGGGTTGCATTTACCACCACTGGCTTGGCTGTTTAAAACAAATAAACAAAACAAACCAGTAAGTCATGTATAACATGCCATCTGCACACTTAACAACAGGTCTCTTCCATTTAATCCTGTAGCACTTCCACATACCTAGAATTAAAAAATTACTATTTTTGTGTAATGTGATAGATTATTGCTTGGGTTTGTTTTTCAGGATTGTATTTGGGTTCTTCATTGTTTATTTTATTCCATTATATATGCTGTTACATTTTAGCTGTACATAAATCAATCCCATTTTTAATGAAGTTAATGCAAATCAGTTTCCTTCTTTAGACTTCTTTGAAAACAGTCCAAATTTGTCATTTTCAAGAAACATGACTACAATAAGCTATGGGTAGATGCTTCTTAGATCTCTCTTACTTTGGCCCCAGCTCTTAAAACACTGACACCCATGAAAAGTACTACTGACAGTTACTCAAGTGCTCAAGCAGACAAAAGTTTGGCTAAAGCTGTTTTCAGCAAAAACCCAATTTTGATCTTTTATTTCTACTTTAAACAAAACTTCCTAAATAGTCTCTCTTTAACTCTGATTTCCAACTTATTCCTTTCATGCTTTCAATTTATGTCAACATAATGTATTTACTAAATATGCAGGGTTACTGCCAGAGTACATTGCAGAAATATAAAAAATACTGGTTTTAGCTGATGTGTACAGCTCTCCTTGCTATTATTGGGGAACAGTCACATTTTCATTCACTTCTGTTCATTCTATCACCACTACAATGCACAGTAAAAATGGCAGATATCACTGTAGCTCTATCAGAGGATCTCAAAGTGCTGAACAAACTAACTCAATAATCCTCAACAACCCAGTCAGATATACACAGACAGTTTCATTTTGACACAGAGAGAGTAAATGACTTGTCACAAACCAAGCAGCCGGTAAAGTGACTGATATTCTCTCCTGGGAATAAATGTTCTCTCTTGACTGAGCAATGAGATGGCAGAGCATTTCCAAACACATCCCTGAAGAAGGGCAATGGATATGTAACATCCCAAACCCCAGAGGTATGGAATTAAATTTGCTCAACTGGCAATTGTTAAAAACTAGAACAGAGGTGTCAGATTGGATCACCCCACCAGGCCAAATTTGCACTGTAAGGAGCCTTGTAAACATAAAACCAAATAAATAAAATGCCATATTAATGACACCACTGACCTTGCTGAAGAGACTGTGTGTTGGTACTGGGATTTTGACTGGCTGACTGAGTTGAACTGTTGGCTGTTGTGGCAGTGACAAGCCTGACATAATGGAATTTGCTTCCAGGTACCTGAATCTGCTGAACATTGGGTGCCGTTGCCAAGGGAATGATGGTCTTAAATTGAGAAGGTCCCACTCCTCCTACAGTGATGGTCTGCACTGTTGATTTCACAGCCTATTATACAACATAGATAGCACCGAGTCATTCATAAAGTTACTTCTATAATGGTAGTTTCATTATTTCTATCCCTTGATTTACCGAGCGATTCATTAATTCTCACAATACCCATGAAGAAAAGGTCAGTATCAGCATCCCTGGTTTGCAGATTAAGACAATATAGCACAAAAAGGTTAAGTGCTAAGGCCATGAATGGAGTCAGCAGTAGAGCAAAAGGGAACTTGGGTCTATCCTCAGAGTCCCTTATGCCAGACTCCCAAATAAACTAATTAGCAAAGTACCTGACCCTCAATTGAGCATCCCTGTCAAAAACAAAGCTCATTGTAGGAAATGCAAGATCTTTGGTTTTATTTACATTCAAAATCATGGGGTATAGGGGAAGAAATCAATTCTGCACCTCATTTTTAGAAATCTCTGGTAGGGGTGCACCCATAGAGATTTTTGGGGCCGATACCCGGCTTTTAAGGAGGTATATCGGCCGATACTAATCCGATTTCCGATACCAGCCTGGCAGCTGGTAAGTCTGGTGTGGTGGAAGGGGAGGGAAGGAGCATGGGGGGCGCAGATCAAGGCTCCCACAGTGGAGGAAGAAGTGGGGCTGGGGCAGGGGCTGGGGCAAGTGCAGAAGGAGCCACAGCTAGTTTGCAGGGCACGGAGGAGGGGGCTGGGAGCAGCTCCTACCACTGTACGCTGCTGTTCTGGGAACCTTGGTCTGGTGCTTGCCTGCTGGTCCAGCAGTTCCTG